CCGCCCCCTCCACCGCCGACCAGGAGTCGGCCGCCCCCGCCAAGGCCAGCCCTAGGTACATCCAGTCTGCCAGCGACATCCAGGATGCCGACGACAACGCGCTGAAGCAGGTGTACTACGAGGCTGCCGAGGCCTCGTCCGACGTCCAGCTGCACCAGGGCGTGACCCAGGGCGAGCAGACCGGCACCGAGGTGGCCGCCGGCCCCCAGCAGGCGCCCGCCATCTCCCTCAGCGGCATCAGTAAGTAGGCCACGCGCCATCCCATGGGGGTGTTTTTTTGTGTACAAAATCCATAAAAGAATGTTAGTTATTTATCTTCGGGAAACGCAAAAACTTACGCTTATATGTGACGTGCTCGCAGTGACTTCCGTCTGGGACTTGGTGGTGTCCTGGGTGCGCGGCCTCCTCGGCCTCCAGCGACACGACCCTCCTCGCATCGCCAGGGCGATCCTGGGCGCCGCCGCCGGTGACGTGCAGTGCTGGAGGACCACCGCCTGCCAGGCCGGCCGCCTCCTGCGCGGGCTGCACGAGAAGGAGTTCCTCTTCATGTAAGTTTTGGATTTCCATTTTATGTGCCAATCTCTTTTTGAATGACGACCGCAATAGAAACTTCGTTTTAATCCACCCCAAATAGCCACGTCTTAACCCGTTCACTTGTTGTCCTCAGGATGATGGAGCGCCTCAGCCCACCGCAGTGGAAGGGTGTCGTGAAAGGCATGCGCCGCTCGGCCATCGACAACGAGGACTGCCGCGTCTACGAGTGCGACGCCTGATCGACCCGCCAGCGACTATTTATTATTTATTTAATTTATTGTTATTTATTTCGTTGACTATTTATTACAAAAAATATACTCGAGACAGAGAGAAAGAAAAGAGTCTGTGATGGTCCCGCCGACGCGACGCGCGTTCCCTGAGCTCCTTATCACCCGCCCTCGCCACCTGTCTGGGAGGTGCGAACACCGACACGAGACAGTTATCGTCACTGCTAGGATTAGGACGAGTCGACGAGCGGAGAAGGCTCATTTCCGGCCTTGATCGGCATCAACCAACAGTCCTGCAAAATAATTCACCTTGGCGGAGAAAAGGGGGGGGGGGCTATCATCAGCATCCGCAACAACTATGCAAATGGGAGACTGCTACTGTAACGATTCACAACATTGTAGTTGGGGCCAAATATCAATGTGTGTCCTTGGCCGCAGAGGTAATACAGGGTGGTCCACAGACCCCTTCCTTTCTTTTGCTTATACTGTACCGCACGCAGGTGGGCGGGCTTACCTACCGTAGCCCGCTGTAGCGCCTTACCCTTACGGCCCCGTGCGAGTATGCAACTCGGCCGCACGCCTGTGTGCGATACAGTATAAACAAAGTAAAGGAAGGGGCCTTGTGGACCACCCTGTATGATGGTGTTTACCCGTCAAGAAGGAAATGCCAACAAAATACGTCGAACTCATTCCACAAGCTTTTTACAAGTGCAAACATGAATGGAGAATGCACAGCTTTGCTGGGGAGATTAGAGACGCGGAAGGGGAGGGGGGCGGGAGGGGAGCAGAGAACGCAACATGTTCTCTGGCAGGCAAGGTCCCGCGTCCGTCCAGCTGGCGTGATCCCGTGGACGGCATCCCCCGGCCCGGCCAGTGCCGCGACAGCAGCCGAAGCCAGCGCGAGTCGCGAGCGCGACCTCGGCAAGCCACGGGACCCGGCCAAGCAGGAGACCGTCAAGTAAGCGTAAAGGCGCGCTGTGTGTGTGTGTGTGTTAAAACAGACCAAATCATGTGCATTGTAGCGACGAGGAAAACAGACTGGCGTTATCAAGCCCGGGACCACTTATCTTGGTCCATCGCTATTATGGACGTTCATGGAGGACTTCACTCGAACGAAGAAAAGCAGGAAGATCGGCCAGGAACATCACAAAACGGCGTTTATTTTGAGCTGTGATTGGTCGAGAGCAGACGACCAGGACTAAACAAATGGCCGTTTTGTTATGTTCCTGGCCAATTCTCAAAATTTCTTCTTGAGGGTGAAGTCCTTCATTGGGCTTTGTGACTCCAAATTTTGCCCTCTAAAACTCGCCAACTCATAGAGGCAGAAATTCAGGTCCATGGCCCTGAAGGGGCGAGAGGAAATCCAATAATAGAGGAGTTGCCTGGAAGCAGATCATTAGGGAAGAAGAACAAGAGGACCGGAAACTGGTATGAGAAATTGAGCGGTTAACCAATCAGTGCTAAACAGGCATTAGCGGCGCTCATCCTGGATTGGTCAACGCCACAATGTCACATTCTATTTCGCTCCCCCTCGATAACATTTCCACCAGAGGGATTACCTCTTACTTTATATATTGGGGCGTTTCTCATCGCACCCTCCTGTCACCTTGTAGTCACTTTTTCGCACGACTGCTTCCGGGTAATACAATTTTTGCTTTTCTTATGACATACAAGGCGCGAGTTACATCAGCTGCTGAGTTTGGTAACTAGTATCGAGTAGTCAAAAAGTGTCGTACTCCAGCTATAGCGTCGTCCTACAGCGGCCCTCGTGACCCATTCGCGGTCTGTCTGTCTCTGACTTCGGTAGACAGACAGGCAGTACGCTCAACTAGACTGGGTTCGTGGTGTACACGAGTTTTCTCCTGGATGCTGCCAATGATGACGTTAGCACTCCGGAGCGCCGAGCGCCGGCCGGCCTCCCCAGGTCTGGGCAGCGGTCCAGGCATAAACGGTAACCATTTAGGTCTTGGTCGCACTCGCACCGAACCAGACCGACGTGGCGGCGTTGGCGGCAGTGGCGGCCCGGCTGTCAAGCCGAAAGCACGCTAAACGCACACCGGGTGGGCCGGCAATCGTCAAATTCACGCAAATTCAAATTGCCGCGGGGTGACGGAGTCAGCGGCCAGCCCGTCCTTAACGCCTTCCGGTATTCCACTCTCTTATGGCAGCGAGGTGACGTTAACGCAACGCAGCGTGGGCGTAAAAATTGCACGAGGAAAGCTTCAATGACTTGTGAGTAGGATAGATGTGTAGCTGTGAGCTCGTTTCGCTGGTTGTTTCATCCCCCGACAGGACTCGGGTGGGGCCGCCCGGAAGGTAGTCAGCCCATCCGACACCCCTGGCGGGCGGGTGGGCGCGGAAACACCTGCGCCACCCGCCACCTGCCGCTCTCCGTGGTTGCAGGGGTTGAACTCGCCACCCCCCTCTGAACTTGGTCGATTAGCGGACCTACCATAGCTATGAGGAAGTTGCCCAATAAAAGGAACAAAAAGAATGTAGCACTGAGGGGGTGGCGTGGCGTTGCCGTCCCTAAACAAAGCAGAACGCCGGCGACCATACTGTGTTTTATCGCGAGTGAATGTGTTATCATAAATCAAGTTTTGTAAAATTCGTAAAGAAAAATTGGGTCCAGACTAAAACGGCGTAACAACATAGTGTCAAAAAGTGCTTCTGCAAAGTAAGTTTATACAATCTTCTAACCCGTCCCGGTGTCGTTGTTTAGGTTAGTGTACGGACATATTACATTGGTACTATTTTAACTCAATGATAATGACTCAACTGTCGTAACAAACTTTGGTATAGGTGGTACCAAAGTGCTAGATCCATAGGCCCGTTCTAAACTGTTTGAAATCTAACGACACGCATCCTAACCTCTGCTAGACTGTCACCCATCTTCTGCATTGTTTAGGGACGGCACTACGCCATGCCACCTCCTCAGTGCTACCTTCTTCTTGTTCCTCTTATCGGGCAACCTCCTCATAGCTTAGAACCACCCGCATCCCCAACCCCAACCCTTCACCCACGCACATCTGCGTAACCACTAGACACGGGAAGCAGCGTGGTCTCCGCGGTGGTCTCGAATGAAAACGAATGGAATGAAATATACTACATTCCTCGAGCTTAAATTGAATTACACGTAATTGTGTTGTTTTTAAAGAAAGAAGTATCGTGGCGATGTCGTCAAGTGACAATATTTTTTTTTGCAGTGCACAGTGCAATAATACACCATCTGAAGGCTGACCTGAGACTGCGCCGCGGTTGAGCAGCCCCTCGCCTCTACACTACAGCCCTCGCCATGGCGCCGCCGCTTCTGCTCCCCCTCATGCTCATGTTGTTGCGCGGCCTGGCGGACGCCGCCCCCGAGGCCGTGCCCGCCGTGCCGTGGGACTCGCACCAGCAGGCCGTCGACGGCACCCTCGGGGTGCCCCTGCCTCTCCCCGAAGGCTTCCTGATGGGGACGGCCACCGCCGCGTACCAGATCGAGGGCGGCTGGAACTCCTCTGGTAGGGCATGATGGTATCGAGGCGGTGCCCGACCTCGGGCCGAGCCTCGGGCGCAGCCTCGGGCGCACGAGCGTGACCTGTCGGTGTGCCCTGCAGGGAAGGGCCCCAGCGTGTGGGACGACTACCTGCACCGCGAGCCCTGGCGCGTGGTGGGAGAGGCCAACGGCGACGTGGCCTGCGACTCGCTGCGCCTCTACCGCAGGGACATCCAGATGATCAAGGAGATGGGCGTGAGTGTGCTGCTAAGTGTGCTCTAGCAAGAAATGCATTTTTCGTCGGCAAAGTTCAAAAGTTATTCAGAAAATTGAAAGACGCGTTGAAATGGTATTCGAATTCGCAGCTCGACACGTACCGCATCTCGTTGTCTTGGCCGCGGATCCTGCCGGATGGCACACTGCTCAAGGTCAACCAGGCAGGCGTCAAGTACTACAACGCCGTGATCGACGAACTGATCAAGCATGGGATACAGCCGATCGTATGTGCCGATCCCTCCCGTTCCTCTCGTATTCATTATTTTGAAAACCAGCTTTTTGTCTCCGCGTTCTGATCCGCCGCCTCTCACACTTCGTCAGGTGACGCTCTTCCACTGGGACCTGCCTCTGCCGCTGCAGCATCTGGGCGGGTGGAGCAACCCCGCGATAGTCGACTACTTCGAGGACTACGCCCGCTTCGCTATCGCCGCGTTCGGGGACAGAGTAAGATAGTTCCCTTTTGCTAGACTAATTAATTAACTATTACTAACTTAATAACGTATACTAATATCTATTAATGAAACAGTTCGAGCCTTTCACTGAAGCTTAACGCGTTTCATAACAGTACAGTCCAAAGTTATTTCCGTCGTATTTTTTATGCTTGCGTGTCTTCCTCTCTCAATTTATAGAACTGCGCCATTCGGAATGTTTACCCCCTTTTTATCGTCTATTGACTCGAATGCGCAAGTCGGTGCGAGCGGCCGGCCTAAGCCCCCCTGGTCCGGACCGGCCTGGCCTGGCAGTATACGTATAATCTGCTCGCAAGCTCCTTGACCCGTGCCGCGGTCGGTTTAAGATACACGGCTGCCTGTATCTGTCCTTCAAATACTTCACCAGCCGGCCTGGGGGTTGTCACATGCGGCGGGCGTGCGCCGTGCGATTCCCTACGCCGTGTCGCTCCCCACCTCAGAACTGTTCATAGCTTCAAGTGAATTTCAGTGCAAGCCACGGCGAATGTCACTGTAAGATACGGTGAATGGTGAATGTCTCTACGGCCAATCAGGGTGCAACACCGTAACTCACAGTGATATTCCCTGCTGCAGCTTCACCGTAAGCTACAGGGCTGCAGGGTTCACTGTAGCAGACAACAAAAAAAACCACAAAAAACTATGACAACAATAAAAAAAGAACGCAGCACAACAACCGAAGAAGACTCGTCTAAGAAGGCAACAAACGCAAAAGGAAAACACGAAAAAGTGCAAAACCCCAGAAGAACAAACGCAAAAGTGTACACGGGAAAACTGCACACGCACAGGTGCGCAAAACCCATATGGAGAGCACCCCACACACAGAGAGCGCACACAAAAAAAAAGTGCACACCAGAAGAGGCACACCCGTAAAAGCACAGAGCCCCAGAGTTGAACTGTAGGCTACTCCGACTACAGAGCTGAGCACTTGCAAGTATTCAACTTGCAGTAGTTGCGCACATGGTTTATCAGCGTAGTGAGTGACCCCTGACCCCTTACTCGTGACGCAGGTGAAGCTGTGGGTGACGGTCAACGAGCCGTACCAGGTGTGCGAGTTCGGCTACTCGGACGTCATCATGGCGCCCTTCTACAACTTCACCGGCGTCGCCGGCTACCTCTGCACGCACTACATGCTGCTGGGGCACGCGCGCGTCTACCGCATGTACAAGCGCGACTTCGCCAGCCAGAAAGGTGAGCGATTGTACGCCAAAGCGCGAGTCCGACGGGTCATACTCGCTCACTGAAGGCTGATTGACGCTTTGCAGGTCGCATGGGGCTGGCCATCCACGCCTACTGGTTCGAGCCGGCCAACCCGGACGACAAGCGGGACCACGCGGCCGCGGAGCGGGGCATGGAGTTTAACGTGAGTGTCCAACAGAGCAGAGGGGAAGTAGGCGCCGTAGCCGGAAAATCGCAACTTATCCATTGAAGTCCACTTTTAAAGTTTCCCCGCAATTCATAAATCGGACAAATCGACGGTGCTGAGCTTCGGAGTTCAGAGAAGTTCAATCGAAGTCAAGTGAATTTCGAACAAAGAGGAAATCAACCATTCTTATTTTCCCTGGGTGTCGAGATAAGGCAGTTTGATGTGTTTTCTACCTGACTACAGCTGGGGTGGACGGCGCACCCCGTGTTCGTGGGCGACTACCCGCCGATCATGCGGAGCATGGTGGACCGTGCCAGCGCGGAGGAGGGGCTGCTGCGGTCCAGGCTGCCTCGCTTCACCCGCGCCGAGATCGACGAGATCAAAGGTAAGAGAGGGAGAAAGGGCGAGGCGGGGAGCGGTGGGGGCGGGGGGCTCGGCACATGGCACGTGCCCGCCCGCCGGCCGCGAGCACCACTCACTCCGCAGGGAAGTTCGATGCGCGGGACAGCGCGGGCAGTTCATCGCCAATTTATTTGGCGGATATCAGAGAAGGCCCGAGGCCGCGCTAAAGCGACGGAAATTGCCATTACAGGATGTTTTCCTTTTATTTTACTTCGGCTTCAGCCTGTCATTTCATGTTCTCTAACGAGCAGACGTGGTTGCCGGGTGCGATGATTTGGGAGGGGGAGGAGAAAGAACGGAGTGAGAGAGACGAGAATGGTGAAACCGTGAAACTATGCGAGGGCGAGAAAGGGAAAGCAGAAGCCAGAGGGAGATAGACGAAGCTTTCGTCGATCACGGCGACTCCGCGTGCGCGCCATGCGGCCCTGGCCCGGAGACAGACAGACCGCTTAGGGATGGCGTGCTGGCCGCGCACTGGGAAAATAATGGTTCTATAAATCAAATCCAATTCCATGTAATATTCTCTATAACGATAGCACGGAAAAATATTCTACGGAAATTCATTCAATTTATCAAAATTGACTAAAATTAAATCAATCTTTATTGGGAATTTCCTTGTTCATTTTTTCGATAGGACTTTATGAAATCAAAGAAACCATTTTCTGAGCGCTTGCCGAGGCCCTGTGCTGAGGCCCCACCCACAGCTCGTCGGCGGCGGCCGTTTGAAGTCGCCACCCCCTTGCGCGCGTGTCGGCGCGGGCCGATAGGAGTGACTGTTGCGCCTCCTGCCGCCGGCACTTAGACCCCTTCCCTCTCCCCTCGCCCCCCGCGCCGCCGCCCGCTACGCCCTTCCCCTACGCCTAGCCGTCGTCTACAGGCTCGGCCGACTTCCTCGGCGTGAACCACTACCAGTCGCTGCTGGCCGCGCACAACGACTCGGTGCCCGGGCCGTCCGTGTATCGGGACGCAAAGTACACCGGCTCCTCGCATCCCTCCTGGCCTGGCTTCTGGACCAAGGTGAGTCGCTGCTACAAGGACGTGACGACGTCGTGGACTTGGAATATTGACCGAGCTGACGCTGACGTCCCTGCTGTGACCCAGAGCACGCCGTGGGGCTTCGGCAAGCTGCTGCGCTGGGTGCGCGACCAGTACGGCAACCCGCCGGTGCTCATCACGGAGAACGGCTACTCGGACCCCAACAACAACAAGCAGGACGAGGACCGCGCCGCGTACTTCAAGGTGAGTGCGACGAGGTGGCGCCCCGGGCCCCGGCCGCTTGGCGGTGCTGTCCGCCGCCTCAACGCAGCGCCAACAGAGAGATTACGCGGACTATCTCTCATTAAAATAATTATTGGCGCCGGCTTTTTTTTTCAAAACGGCTGACGGCGTGCCACGGCGCGAGGCCGAACGGCGGCCGCCCGCCGGGAGAGGTTGCTCGGCCGCCGAGCGCGCTGGAGCGCCTGGAGGGCGGGCACGCCCGTCGAGCACGCCTGCGCTGCGGGTGGCCCAGCCTGGGCGCCTGGAGAGGGGGCCCGCTCGGCCGCCGAGCCCGCTGGAGCGCCTGGAGGGCGGGCACGCCCGTCGAGCACGCCTGCGCGGCGGGTGGCCCAGCCTGGGCGCCTGGAGAGGAGGCCCGCGCGGCGGCCGAGCGCGCTGGAGCGCCTGGAGGGCGGGCACGCCCGTCGAGCACACCTGCGCGGCGGGTGGCCCAGCCTGGGCGCCTGGAGAGGAGGCCCGCGCGGCCGCCGAGCGCGCTGGAGCGCCTGGAGGGCGGGCACGCCCGTCGAGCACGCCTGCGCAGCGGGTGGCCCAGCCTGGGCGCCGCGCCCGGAGAGGGGGCCCGCTCGGCCGCCGAGCGCGCTGGAGCACCTGGAGGGCGGGCACGCCCGTCGAGCACGCCTGCGCGGCGGGCGGTCCAGCCTGGGCCGCGCCAGGCGCTCCCGGCGGTGACTGACTTGATTGGCAGGGCTACCTCCGCGAGATGCTGCTGGCCATCCGGGACGGCTGCAACGTGTTTGGCTACACCGCGTGGAGCCTGATGGACAACTTTGAGTGGACCCTTGGATACTCGGTCCGCTTCGGCCTCTACTTCGTGGACTTTGACCACCCCGACAGGACGCGGACCCCGAAGCTGTCTGCCGCGTTCATCCGCAACGTGACACGTGACCGGGCAGTGCCACCCTGAACGGACTTCTTGTGACTCTTCATTGTCGGGCCGAGTGTAATGTGATCTGGTAAATGTTTGAACACACTGGCCTATATTCTGTAAGTTGTAATTATTGTGATTTTAGTTGTATTGAATTCTCTCTGTAGGCTGTATTTTTATTTCTCTACCGAGTATTACTGGTGCTGTGACCTTATTGTTACGTGAATAAGTGCAGTTTTGGAACTCTTTTGCAATTTTATTACAAAATTTCCTTATCTTATGAGTCTTAAATATGAAATAAATAAATAAAACATACACAAAACATAGAAGACACAACAAAGAACACACAGAATACAAAGTCATTCAAATACAAATTATGTCAATCATACTCCATTTCTTTTGTCTGACAGTCATGCTCACAACAGACATCATCTTTATGACACACACACTCACATACAACCCTACTTGTATCAATCACAATACTAGAGCTAAAATCACAATATTAACTGTTCTTGCAGCTATAACTGCAAGCCCACTGGTGTGTTCAGGATACTGAGACAAACAGAACCTACTGTTCCCGCCAAAATTTTTATCCCCCCCAAAAAAGGAAAAATAAAAAAAACGTGGTTTCGTTTTAGCACTGTAACTGCTGTGCATTGTAGAAAAATTTCTACAATGCGGGTGAAGTTTGTTCTTTTTTAATTGACAACAAAGAAAAGAGAAAGAGTTTCTGCAAGCTGGGAATTCTGTCTAAGTTTTTTGCCCGTCTGCCAGTGTGCGCCGAAAGTTTCCTCTTTGTACGAGCCAAACTAATCTACTTCTACAGCTTGATCACAAGGGCGTGCTGAAAGAGCACAGAACTTAACCTACGCAGTCACTCCAGGTCACTCCACCACTCAACTACAAAACAATACTGTTTGGAAATTAACGGGGCTGTAGTTGCGCCCGCCTTCTACTATAACATTGGTCTATTGCTGCACGAGTGGCAAAATTATAAGAAAATATCACAAAGTTTCGCCATAATACATTAGTACAAAAAAAACACGTACACGCACACACATACTTCGACGGCATGCAGGTGAGGTCGGGGTTAGTTGCAGCCACAGGCTTCCACCACCATGTTGGGCAGCGTCTTCTGGATGTACGTGTTATTGTTGTTGATGTAGAGCAGCGAGATCTCAGAGTACTTGGTGGGCGTGCAGCACGGCACCAGATCTACCTTCTTCCCGGTCTGCATCAGCCTCTGCATCAGATAGAGAATACATATGACAAACTGCGCGGCGCGTGCGGGGTCCAAGGTTTTGGCCGCAGCACAGACCCCCTCCCCTCTCCCCCCGTTTGCCCCCGGGTTGTTTACCGAAACTCAACTCACCCTTATTATGGCGTTGTGGTGCGAGCCGGTGATGGTCAGGGACGCCGCCGTCGTGCAGGACCCTCGGCAGAAGTACGCCTCGTAGCCGAGGGGCTGCAGAATCCAGTCGTCCCAGCCGATGTCCTTGAAGGACACGTACAGGTTGTCGCGGCAGCACTCGGCCATCCCGGGGACGCACTTGGCGTTCCGTTTCGACCGACGAACCTGCAGGGGGAGACAGGCTTCGTTAGTCGAGTCAAGGGGCGGGCTTCCCTCTCTTCCTAGAGAGAGCTGAGTTAAGGGGCTCACCTTGTTTCCGGGGCTCGTGGCGATGACCAGGAACGGCTTGAAGGCGCCGTCGGCCTCCACGGGCACGCCGGCGGCCTCGACCATCTTGAGGAGCTCGTTGTACTGAAACCAGAACTTGACCGCACGCGCCAAGTCCAGCTTCACCCAGCCCTCTGAAACAGAGAAAAGGTCGGGTCTGGACTTTAGTCGGCCCGCTTCTCGGTTGCTCCGTTGTCACGTAGAGGTGGAGGGCGGAGCGGAGAGCGTGACGGGGCGGGG